ACTCATTCCTCAAAATATTTTGAAACATTTGAATTGTTTCCGTCACCACTGTTTGAGATTAATTCTCAGTGGTTAGTAATCTTTTATTGATCTAACGGCCATGGAATGCCGTTGCTACGGATCCCGTCGAATTTTTGGGACAGTTTTATTTTGCCTTAAATACATTGCAAAAGAATTTCAATCAATAATTATTCATTCAAAATAAAATTGAGCTTGTAATCCGTCTAAATGCACTTGAACTACACTTAGACTGCATTAGTAATTTAAACTTCTGCATTTATTCAAATCAAAAAACTGAAATATTTTGGTTCTCTACTTGATTAGAAAGTAAACTTTTTCAATTTCTGCGAAAATTTGTTCGTTGATTCTGAACATTTTCCCACATACGTAATTCAATGTGTACTACAATCTAGCAATGCCAAAATATGTTCATCTTGAAGTTCATAGTGAGTCTTCGCACAGCCAGATTTCATAAACCCATACCAGAAAGGTCAAGTAGCAGAAACGGATATCAGATTACCCACAATCGCGTGTGTTTTATGAAAAAGGCGATTGGATACTTGGGAAGGTTTCCTCATGAGTGAAAAGCAAAAGATCTTGCTCTGATCTACAAAATCCATGGTCCATATTTGATTCTATTTATGAAGAGCTAACAATTAAACATTCAATTCTCAGATCATGAAGAGAATTTTGTTTAATGTTTTTTTTTTTATACTTACAGAATATTCTTGAGCATATTGAATAATATCTGTGATCATTTTTTTCGATTTAATATCAGGTACATTTTGCATAATTGTCTTTAATATTGAAATATTTGTTGTGGATTGTGTTTGAGAACTACCGATATATGTTCCCACTATTTCACAAATATATTGCCAAACTAATGGAATATCTACAGCTAAATCATCAGCTATTTCCAATACGGCTAAAATTCTAAATATAGAACAGTTAATTGAAATAATTAAATATATAAAGAATATTGTAAAATGTACATACCCGTTTGTGATACCATCTATTGTTAATATTTGTTGTCTTTGTACAGCATCGAGTAAATGTCCAACAGCGATCCTGGCTCGCGGTTTTAATTCTAAAACATTTGTTATTAATTCACGAACAACAATTTGTTGATCCATTGATGTTTGAAGATGAAAATCGATTAAATCTTGAATGGCATCCTATAATAGATATAAAACAATGAAAACAATGAAAAGTTAGATTAAATTTTCATTTATTGAAAAATTTATGCAAAAAATAAACTAACTGTTCTAACATTTTTCGTAAAGGACATATTCTCTGGCGAAAAAATGTGCCATGCAAAGTGTTCTAAGGGTGTAGAAATTAGATTTCATTTTAAAGCCTTGTCAGGATTCCATAAAAAACTGGTTTGTTATAGAACTTTCAATTTCCTTTCGAAAAAAAGGGTTAATATAGAGCAAAGATAATCGATATTCACTTTTTTCTTGAAAAAAAGTATCGACTCCTTTTGCACCGGTTTATCCGTTTTTCTCATATTTTCGTTGGATTGAGATAGATTCATCAGACAAAAGGTCATAGTGCTCTAGAAATATCTATTTTTCTGGATATTTGTTTGGCATCGATGCCACTCGCTGAACCAGCGCAGCATTTTTCTGACAACGCAAAAAATTTCAGTGTACGTCGATGTGAGTGCCACTGATCCATTGGTAGTACAACACTAACATTCGTTTTACAGCAATGACAAAACAAAAATAATTATCTTTCTGCCAGTAGTTCTCTTGTTAAGGAACGTGAACTACCAGACGTTCCTGTTACAAGAGATAGTTTCTTTTAACAAAAATTTATCATAAAATCAGTACGAAAACGTAGTATTCTTTGAAATTTCAGTCTTATTTCATCTCTAACTAAACACTTGAACTTTGAATTTATCTAACAAACAAAGAATTGGTTATGGAGAACTAAATAGACTAATTTTGTTCTTGCACTCAACAATCATCCAATAAAGTGTTGACATGGATATCATTAGCATCGAAGGAAGAAAAAACATCAATGATCCTTTATCAGTGGTTGCTAATCATACAAAATGAACTTGAAATTCAGCAGACATGAAGTTCAATGTCATTTTTGACATTCAACATTTAAATGGTTTAGTAGAATTTGTACCAAATAAAATTATTCAGACTATTGAAGATTTAGAATAAATTTTGCAGAATCATCCTTAAAAATACACGTTAAACAGATCAGTACTGAGCACTGAATCCTTAAAGTTCTACAAGTCGTCTACTGAACTATTTGATCTTCAGAATATCGTTTAGAACTATGAAAGATTCGGTGTACCATCTCTTTTCTTTCAGAATAGCCTGATAAAAGTTGTAGATAGACAAATAGTCGGTATGTCAAACGTTAGGCAACTTGTAATACTTTACAGCTCAGTCACCAAGAGACGTAAGAGAAAACTTTCTGATAGTTTTGGTCAATTTGGTGCTGTCTGTTTGACAAAAAATAATTTCTCCCTCGCGAAGTCGAAACATTTATTGTCAAATAGACAGTGTCATTCGACGTGGCTTACCAAACTGACCAAAACTATCAGAAAGTTTTCTCTTACGTCTCGTTGTAAGAAGTTACTTGGCAATAACAGCTGTCAATAGCAGGTAACTTCAGCAATTGCTAAAAGTTAGCTGTCAGAAGAAAAAATGTGCAGAGGTCAAATATGATCGATCAAATAATGAAAATTTCTCAACTTTAGGAGTTTGTTTTTAGTAATAAATCACTTCATTCAGTGCGCGACAAAAGTTTCGCCCGCAGAATAAATGATTTATTCCATCTTTAGGAAAGGCATTGGAACTCATTTGATAACTATAATATACATTGCTCTTAGACATTTCAACACTTATGTTCAGCTTCTTTATTTCTTGTGTTTTTCGTTTTAGATTCGACAAATACTAATTACGCAAAAATGCGCCATTTAACGAAAGAAGAGTGTTGATTTGCTGTCAAGGAGGCACAAAAACCAGATAAAAAATTAAGTATGACTGCACGTGCACTTAAGTGTGACTGTAGAACAGTTAGTCGTGTTCTGGTGCGCTTCTCGGAAACAGGATTATTAACCGATCAGGATCGACCAGATCGGCCAACTGCTCTTACTGAAGACCAACAAAAGATATTAGACAAGTATATCACAAAAAACCCAACTGCAACGGCTAACCAACTTTCTAACTATGTCTTTGATGAGTTTGGCATTCGAGTTAGTGGGCGCACGTTGCAACGATATCGTCGTGCTCTCAGCTTTTGTCCGAGAAAGCAACAAGTCAAAGTGAAATCAACTGAAGGTCAAATCGAAAAATGACATTTTTTTGCACTAGAACATCAAAATACTAACATCAAAAAGTGGATTTTTATTAATGAAACTCAAGTGCAATTACGTAACTCAGGTACAATTGGTTGGATGAAGCGTGGTGAGCCAACACCGGTTCATGAAATTTCTTCTCTTCGTGCTTATGTCAATTTGTGGGATGCAGTCTGATGGAATGGAAAAACGTTTGCAAGGTATGATGGTTACATGAACCAAACGCAATATCTACATATAGTAGCTTCTCATGTTGGTCCACATGTGCATAAATGTCGTCGTTATGCTGTAACTCAAGACAGATTAAGGTCACACTGGGCAAAAGCGGTTCGTCAGTGGTTTGAAGATTGTGGGCTTCGATTATTAGACTGGCCGCCTCATTCGCCTGAATTTAATGCCATTGAACACGTGTGGCACTCACTCAAGGAAACAGTGAGATTGGCACAGCCAAAAACTCAAGCGGAGTTAGACGCAGCTGTCAATGAAGCCTGTCTTCTCATTTCGCAAAAAGTTATCCAAGGGTGCATTTCACACATTTCTACTTTACTCAAACAAGAAGCAAGCAGTTAATAAAAAATGATGTGTTTATTAAATGTCTAGAATTGCTCTATCTTTCTATATATTGAACTCTATTTTCATGTGTTGAAATAAAAAAAAACATTTGTCTCAATAGGGGTGAAACTTTTGTCGCGCACTGATTACTCAAGTATCAACCAAGTCGTTTAAGTAAAAATAGATTTTGTGAGGAAATAAGAAGAAAAACGTTGAAAAAGGATTAGGCCAGGCATATATAGATGGCATCTCGTCGAAGAAATTGATTGATCAATTTACTCATACGAATCACTTTTTTTTGCTTTCCTTTGAACATCAGTGGCCAGTATTAGCAAATATTATTGACAGCTAACTTCTTTCAATGCTTACGTCTCTTGATGGCTGTACTACAGGTAAAATCCCTTTCGTGTTACAAATCGTCTATTGAATATACGTACTTGTACTGGTCCATCATTTCTATCTGAATAATTTTCTGTATATTCTTCGATAAGTGAATGTACTCGTTGTTTAATTTTTTCTTCTGTTAATGGTACATCTGGTATTTTGGATGTACTCAATGGTGTTATTTGATCAATAGATGATGGTGTCGATGGTGTTGTAATCGATGTGGTTGATAATCGAGATTCACCTATTGAACTGTCACGAGATGGATTACGTGATTGTTCACGAGACACATTTCGACTACCTTAAAAAATAAAAATGAGATTAATTTTTGTTTTAATGGGGAAAATTATAAACAAATTTTCAATAATGATGACTATACCTTCTCTTGAATTTGATTGTGATAATGGATGTTTGAAATTATTAATAGTTTTTAGAGATTGAACAACTGATTCTCGATCTCTATCACGGTTACCCATGGCTAATTCACGTGATGATTGACGTTGCATCGAATTACCTTGATTTGATCCATATTTAGATGGTGATTGTTTTGATGATTTTGAATTGGAAAATGTATATTGAGAGGCGGATGTTTGACCACCAGGAGCAGTTGGTGGTTTACCTCTACAAAGAAATAAACAAAAGAAGATTATAATGTCAGATTTATTCGACTTAAAGCTCGCCTCCCTGTCAAAAAATGATCATTTTGGTCAAAAACACCTATTTTGAGATTTATACTTAGTTAGCTAGCCCTAACTGTCTACTTTCGAATGCACTATGGTCTATTGGTTTTACGATGGTTTTTGAGGGTTTTACGGACATCTTTCTGAAACGCTTAAAATCAGAAAAAATGACTTTTTTGCAAATTTCAGCCATTAGAAAAGTATCACGCACGTATTTCTACATGTGTACATTCGATTCGCTATAGTCGATAACCTAGGACGAACTATTTTCAGTTTCTTCCTATATCACACGTTGAAGAAAAAAACTTGATTTCTAAAGTCAAAATTTGTTTTGCGTTTTTCTTAAAATGGGTTTTTCTATTTTTATCTGTTCGTGCGGTCCAGATTTCTCCACCATTTTACACGCTAGAAAGCTCGAAAAGGTGTTAAAATGAAGCGACGACTTAGCACTACAATGTAGCAAGGTCGGATTTTTTTATTTTCAATTTAATTTTTAAGAATAAATAAATTTTCTGAAAAGTAAGCCGTAATTTTTCCAACTTTTTTGAAAACAGTTTTCGGAAAAAATACATAAAAAAAAATTAAAAAATCCGTTCTTAGCACATTGTAGCGACAAGTCTTGGCTACGTTCTAAAATCTACCCGAGCTTTCTAGCATGTCGCACGGCGGAGACATCTGGGTCGCACGGATGCCTACTTTATGACTCTTAATTTCAAGATAACTCTGGGAAAACTGAATATTTCGAGCTGAAGTTTTGTGTGTGATATATCAAACGCAAGGGACATATTCTGTGAAAATTTTATCAAAATCAAATTTTCTTGAAGAAAAATTGTTTTGTTGACAGAGAGGAAAGCCTTAACAAGAAAATAAATAGAAGCAAAGAGAATCTACCTATTTCCATATGCTTGTTGTTGATTATTTCTCTGCTCTTGTTCTTGATCTTGTTTCTGTTTATCAGTTAAACCTGAACCTTTACACCATACTTTCATACTAGCTGGACCACCAAATGTAGGCTAAAATAAGACGAGATATTAGTAAAACTACTTGTATAATAATAATAATAATAATTTTAATTCAATATTTTTCTTTCTATATTTACTTGTTGTGCACTTCTATTATTTTGTAATAATTTCACACTATTCACATTAAATCTTGGCTCATCATCATTTTGTCCTTGTCCACCCATACCTCGCTGTTGTCTATTCATACTTCCTCGTTGTTGACCTTGATATTGATTACCACTTCGTTGCTGTTGTCCCTGATTATCACCACCTGATTGATGATTTTCTAATCGTCGTTGTTGTCGATCAGAATCCTGTTGTATTTGTTGTGTTTCACGTCTTAAACGTTCTTGTTCATGTATTTCATCGATAGTTGTTGGTTTTATTTCGATTCGACGAGCAACCCAATTAGCACGTCTTAACTCGAGTAACTCTTGAATCATAAATCGAATACGAGCTGATGTATTTCGTTGAATGACAATTTGTTCTAATTTTTCATAATATTTGTCTAAAGCGTTTAATTTTTCATAATATCTCTCTAAAGCTATTTTATTTGTAGGCTAAATAAGAAGAGATACGAGTGAATCAACTGTTAAAAATCAGACTAGAAATGGGTTAATGCTATTTAGCATATAGTAATTGGCCTAAAGGATATTTGTTTTTCTACACATTATTTTTTTTTGTTCACTTACTTTTTGTTCCAATTCTTTTCCAATTGTTTTTAATAATTTAGCTAAGCATTCCAATGCTTCTTCATCGGTTTTATCACGGAGTAAATAATCGATACAACCGTTCATTATCACATCTGTTAACACTCGTATTTTAAATAATTCACCAATAAAACTAGAAAAAAGATGAAATAATAAAAAGAAATAGAGACTAGTAAATGTTATAATAACGAGTTTATGGTATGTTCTTTTTTCAACAAAAAAAACCAATGTTAATTTTTACGTTGTTACATTCTTATGTAAATGTATCAGATAAAACACGTTCATTTGAACGGCTGAATAGCAATACTAGAAGTCTGATAAAATAAATGATTCTTTTAATATTTTTTGAATAACGTTTTATTTTCTCCGTGTAGACTTGAACGTTTTCTTTCACCATTTCATCTGCTACAAAAATATATATAACCAACGTTCTCTTCTGTATATTGGAAAAACTGAAAATCTAGGGAAAAACTGCTGTGAAGTTTGAATGTCCACAATTTTCTAATTCACAAAACAATGAGAATTAAATTTCTTTTAACAAAGTGGCGTTCATCAAATTGACATATGTGTTTCCGTGCTTTGTTTCTTTGTATCATCGGTCTACTTTAAACGTATTCTCTGGCACAGAGGGTGGTTTTATCAAAATTTACCAGAGAATTTGATTTTTTCATCTTGGCACAGGAAAGGAAACAGAACTATTCAACTTTCTCTGTTCGGATGTGATAGACGAATTACTTTACTTCAAGATAAAATACGTTCTACCTCAAAATGGTTTGAAAACGCCGAATTTATGATAAAATCGATAAAGAACGGATCTCTGCTCGAACCGCTTGTGATTATGAACAGTTTCGACAACAACCACTTAGAGATAGAGCTTTTCAAAGACTTCAGAACGTCTATCTTCGTGTTTTATTTATCTCAACATATGACAAGCTAAAACTGAACAAAACTGTGTTTTGAAGTAAGAAAATTAGGGAGCGTAAAGCTTCTTCAAAGCACTTTCTCTATAGTATGAAAATGAGAGCGTCATTTAATCTGTATTACCCGTTAATTCTAGGAAATCGGGGCGACTGGAAAGAACTAGGACAACAACCACTTAGAGACAGACCTTTTCAACGCACCATCGTTCTACTCAACTCCACTCGTGAGCTGAATTGGATTAACACGTTTTTGGGTGCAAGTGAAGAGTTGAGTTCGAATTAAAAAAAAAAGAAATTCCTGCGTTGCCCACGTCTGTCGTAACTAGAGCCCTCTGCAGGTTAAGCCTAACCAAACCTATAGGGTAGAAGAAGAGTTACTTTTCGTGTCGTAGCACGATCAGATAACTTTGACGACAGTTTAACATTCTAATGTACTTATATGTTTTTTTTTAACGAAAGTATAGAACGTCTAGAATTGTAAAGCAAACGTTTTTCGACGAAATGAGACGTTTCGAGGCTTTGTACGTTTCTTTGTTTAAAAAAATAAGAGGAAAATACAAAACACCCTTCTTAAGCTTGATTGTGGGATAGTAGCATTCAGTATTTGCCGTTTATTGTTTAAACAAAGAAAGGTATAGAGCCTCGAGTCGCCTCAGTTTGTAGAGAAACGTTTGGTTTACAATTCTAGACGTTCTACAGTACTGCACATGCTTTCGCTAAAAACAAATATAAACACAGCAAAATGTTAAATTTCGTCACGGAATTTCACTTCCGTAGTAGTCATTTACTGTGCTTATATTTTTTTTTAGCGAAAGCACGTACAGTGCTGTAGAACGTCTAGAATTGTAAACGAACGTTTCTCTACAAAATGAGGGGTTTCGAGGCTCTGTACGGTTGCCTCGACGAGGGCTCAAATCCTGGGAAAATGACACTTTGGACTCTCGATATAAGTTTTTGAGGAGTATTGATTACTTGTAATGAAGGGTTACTTGAGAGATAAAATAAAATTTATGTTACTTTTCCTCGTATGTGACCGTCGGGATAGAATCTCATAGAATTCAACTGGACACTTAGGGACATAAACATGTGAATAGAGAGCGTTTTCTGATTCATTGAAAAACCAGAGCTTGAAAAATGAATTGATTCGTCTCCTATACCGATGTTTACGTTCTCTTCTATGCAATAGAAAATACGTTTGATGTTGTTATTAACTTACAAAATATTTCCTAGTTTTTTTCGTTTTGCTTTAACTAAATCTTCATCTAATTTTTCTTGTTCTTCTTTTCGTTTCTTTTCATCTTCTATTTGATCACATTCTTGTTTTCGTTCTTCATATCTAATTTCTTGACGATAATCATTTTCAAATTCATGTTGACATTTTGATAATAATAATTTGCGAAAATGATATGTTTCAAATTTACCAGTATCATCTGGTACTGTTACTGTTATTTTTTGAAATTGTTTACATAATTTAGCATACATAAATGAAAAACCCGGCTCATCTACAGCCTAAAATAGAACAAACATATTTTATCTATCTTTTAATATTTTTCATCTATTTATTTAGAAATTTACTTTTGAAAAAAATATATCGATCATTCCCTGTAACCGTTCTGGTTGATTAATTTCTAATTCACTTAATTGTTTTTGTAATTTTTCAAATGTTTGTGGTGTTAATTTATTCAATATTATTCGTATTTTTCTCATAACTTTTGTTGTCGCATCTAATTGACTTTCATTTGTTCGTATAAATGGATTTTCTACTGTATGTAATTTAAGAGTATCTTTTGGAATTGAATTAGGATATGAATTTGGATATGGATTTGGATATGGATTTGGATATGGATTTGAACGTTCTTTAGATGGACGAAAAGTTGTAGAAACGTTGAAACGTTGTTGAGGTGGCGGTCTAAATACAACAGAAAAACAATAGAATTTGTCATTAATGAAAGTTATTTGACATTTTATGATTACTTTTAATTAAATAGAATAAAAAAATTGTTTACCTGCTTAATACAACTTCAATATCCGGTAGACTATCTGGTTTAGTCATACTTGGTGGTGCCATTTTTAAATCAAGTAATTGTTGACGATCATAACGTAATCGTGATGGTTTTAATTTATGTTGCAATTGTTCAATAGATGAAGTCTGTACAGAAGTTTTCGTTAGAGAAGTGTTCAAATCGTCAGAGATGGAAATTGAATTAGATTGTTGTTGTCCTTCTTCCTCTTCTTGTTGAATCTTTTCTGTGTCTTTCGATGTATCAAACATAGTACTATCTGTATCGACGTACAATTCAGATGATTGATCAGCGATAGATTCTTCTGGTTGTTCAACAACTGATGGATGTACCGATGTATCCGATTTTGTTGGTATTTCAATTTCATTCGTAGTTTTCTTTTCGTCGGATATAAAAATATTTTCATTATGATTTTGTTCTTCAACAGGAACAAATGTTGTTTCACTAGTTTCTGATTGTACTAATTGTGATTGTTCGATAGATGGAGTTGGAGAAGATGTAGAAGGTGAATCATTCTAAGTAAAAACAAAGAGAAATATGATATTTTAGCAATAGAGAATCACTACTAATGACAAGACACGGTACATGATGTCATTATAACTTTAAATCCTATTACAATAATGTCTAATATTTGTATATGCTAGACAAAGTGAATTTTTTCTTTTTATAATTTGAGAAAGATGAAAAACTTCATTTTTCTTTGTAAAATTAACCCATCTTTTATTTTTATGGTGTTCATATTCTAACGAGGGACCTTTTCCAAGTGTCGAATCACGTTTTCCTTAAAACATACACGATTGTGGGTAATCTTTGATGCTTATCGAAGCTGATACATTAGACTTTTCTAGGGTGGGTCTCTGAAATCAGGATGTCCCAAGACTCACCATAAACTTCAAGATGAACATATTTTGGCACTGCCAAATCGTAAAACACGTTGAATTACCTCTGTGAGAAAACCAATGAACAAGTTTTCACAGAGATAGAAAAAGTTTACTTTCTCCCACAGAGGTAATTCAACATGTACTACAATCTAGGAGTGCCAAAATATGTTCATCTGGACGTTCATAGTGAGTTTTTGGACACTCGGATTTCAAGGACGCAAGGAGTAGTAGAAACGGATATCGTGCTCAGCATCAAAGATTACCCACAATCGTATATGTTTTAAGGCGAACACGATTGGACACATGGGAAAGTTCACTCATAAAACAAAATTTTGTGTGATAGTATCATCGCAGTTTTTCAAAGTTTTACATAAGAAATTGTTAAACTCGTCTATCAATCGCATAATATCACGTTTTTTTTTTCGTTAAATTTTTTTTCATACTGAATACTTTATATTTCGTAGTAATCAATCTGACAAAGTGTAGTTTTGTTTTTTGTTTTTTTTTACAAGCAGTCAACATATTTCAACGATACGTGATTAATTTTATCTCTCTTGTCTAGTGAGATACTACGATGATCAATCTTATCAACACTATCTATTGTCCTGAACAAAATTCACACTCGAACACTTTAAATTGAACAGACAGATGTAGAATATTATCAGCATAAGTACGAGAGTAATGATGCTAAAATATTTAACATTTTTTTTGCAAAAATAAATTATCACTATTTTTTTTGTTGTGTTTTTTTTATACAACAGACCAACTTTCAATAACAATTAGTCTTTTTTTTTAAAAGAAAACGACTGCATCAAACTTGTTGGAAACACGATACGCTGCCAAGGTATGTGAAATTCAAAATCCGTCATCAGTTATCAAATGGTGATAAGAGCAACTTTGTAACGAAAATTATCTTTAAGAGATGAAGATAAAGCAAAACGTTGGACAAAAACAACAACAAGGAGAGCCCGTTAAAATTTATCATGTAATGGAACAAACCAAGTCATTTTCATATTGATTCAAAACCTTATGATGTTTCAAGAATCATGAAAAGAAATCGTCCGTGTAAACGAAGATTGAAAACAGTTACAACCCGACATTATTTCAACATTAGATACAAAAAGAGTTAGAATTCTTGCCAGACGAATGTTATGTTATGGATGAAGCAAGTATTTGAAGTGATATCATTTCTCCATACACATATGCGAATAAAGGATCAAAGGATGTAGTGTCAGATAAAAAAAGTTAGCCATACAATTGTTGCAATACTATAAGAGAATGAAAGTATTTTATCTACATTTAGCATTCAACATCGAAATGCCAACAAGAGAAGAAAACAAAAAAAACTGTTAAAGAAATGAATACTATATTCATACTGAAATATCTTTGATTACGAATATACATGTTAAGACAACTGTTAAAGACAATTATAAAACTGAAGTTAAAGATTTGGTTCTTTCCTGTATACACCATCGCATCAGAACTTTCACCATATGACAACAATTTCTTCCGAAAAATGGCACAGGATGAACTATTCGCATCCATCGCGGAATGATTACTACAGACATTTTTTTGTTTTTTTAATATAAACTTTAGTTATCAATCGAACAACACAGGTGCAAACACAACCGAGCGTAATAACGTTCATTCAAGCATTCACATCTGCGAATATTTTTAGCTATGAAGGAAAGAGAAGAAAAGAAATCATAAACTATATCCGTGGCTTGAATGGTTCAATACAACAATGATGAATGCAAGTTTTCGACTAGTAGCTTGGCGCTAAAGATGATTTCGTGAAAACAAATGCGATCTAATTTTTTTTTTCGTTTATGCTATGTCTCAATCAACCGAGAAAGTTAACAAAGGTAGGATGAGACAAGTTCATGCGATTCATTTCATTTGCCGTTCAATATTGGCGGCGTAGTGGGGAGTGAATGAGGAGGGTCTAGTTGTCGGTATTACTCATAAACGAAAAGAATTAGATCGTATTTATTTTCATGAACTCATCACTAGCGCCAAGCGACCATTACTGTATGAAATTACCGTACAAAAATATTGTTCCACTGTAGATTCGAATTTGCTATAACATTAGAATCTAGTTCAATGTCTTATAATACAGATAAAAAAATAAAACACTTGTCAATAAAGCCTCATAATCTGGCGCAGTCAAACACTATCCATCTAATCTTATTTAAGTCAATAGGCGTGGCCAGCTAACTCTGCTACCGTAACAGAATTTCGTCCATCATTTGCTTTTGCCTATAATTCATAAACTGATTGCCGTACGGTGTCGTAGGACATCTTAAGTTGAAGAAAAAAGTCTGGTTAACATTTTAAGATATTTTGCAGTCTTACAACATGTATCGTTAAGAAGCTGTAACCTAAACATTAGACACGAGTTTTTAATTTTTTTGAATTTAATTTTTGTAAAACTAGTGTCTAATGTTTAGGTTACAGCTTCTGAACGATACATGTTGTAAGGTTACAAAACGTCTTAAAATGTTAACCCGATTTTTCTCTTCAATTTAAGATGTCGCATAACACTCTGCAGCTGCCAGTTTAGGAAGTATAGGCAAAACAAATTGATGAAAAATCGTTACGGTAGCAGCGTTAGCTGGTCACGCTGCAATATACATTAACACAAAAATTATGAAATAGAGACATTTTGAAAAATAATGAATTTTTTTTTACAAAATATTGTTGTATTGACAAGAAAATGTGCAAAAATTGTTTCAAAAAATCATCTCAATCAACTTCTTCTATTCACGATGAGAAAAAAACATCATTTCTAGTCAATAATTTTATCTAAAACAAAAATTATTAGTTTGTCATATGTTACAATTGTCTTTTTCTTTTGTTTTTTTGATAAATTCTACAAACTGTTCTACTTTTTATTGTTGTTTTTATTTTTTTGATAAAAAATGGACTACCTTCACATATTTGAATTGTACATTTCTTCGTTGATTTTGTGTTTTATGTTTTTTTTGTGTCATTCGTCTTTAGTGTAATAACAGACGAGTATAAAACGAAAAAAGTGTACATGTACTGTTATCTATTTATATATGTACAACAGATCATGCATTCAACTGATGGAAAATGTTTTCGTGAGACAGACAGAAAAATCACGAATGAAAAAGAAAAGAATATATATGTATTCAGCTCTATCCTTCGTTTCTTTCCTCATTATTATTATTATTTATTATGACATTATATAACGGATGAAGGACAGAATGTGGAAGAGAGAGAAAGAAAAAGAGAAGAAAAAAAAATTATATCAGCAAATGAAAAAGAACAGACCCAGTAAAAATCGAGGGGTGATAGGTGGATGACCCAGTAAACAACAATGTCGAAATAAAATTCTATTATTCACATATTATTCGAATATAAAGTTACATACCTAAATAATATTTATTCATTACAATGATATATTTAAACTATTTGCTTTATGATGAAATTTTTCATTCAATTTTCTTAAACAACAACTTTTGCTGCATATAGTTTATGTGCGAAGAAATAGGCAAATATGCATAAAACTAATATTTAATAGCAAAGACGTGTATCTTTTTAACTACAATTCGAAAAACAATGTGAACAAAAGAAACAATTTTTATCCTTAAAATAAGAGAAAAATGAGTACAGTTCAGTGAAAAGTGACTTAATACTAGATCTGGAAATTGGATAGAATGAAACTGAATGGGTTTATAACTGTGTCAAAATGTCACGGTGACAAAATGAAGTTTTCAAAAAAACAAAAGTATGTAAAGATCTTCATGCCTTTGTAAACAAATGGAAGATGTGAAAAAATTTAATAATGCAGTAAATGACGACGATAGATGAACGAAGAAATAGTTTACTTATTAATAAATAAAAAAAACAAGATTTTCAATACAATCTAGCTAAAAAGTTACGTAGCACGATCAGATAACTCTGCTACAGAAGTGAAATTCCGTGATGAAATTTGACATTTTGCTGTGTTTATATTTGTTTTTAGCGAAAGCATGTGCAGTACTGTAGAACGTCTAGAATTGTAAACCAAACGTTTCTCTACAAACTGAGGCGTCTCGAGGCTCTATACCTTTCTTTGTTTAAACAATAAACGATAAATACTGAATGCTACTATGCCACAATCAAGCTTAAGAAGGGCGTTTTGTATTTTCCTCTTATTTTTTTTAAACAAAGAAACGTACAAAGCCTCGAA